ACGATGTGGAGAGCCGCATTGCCCTGCTAGAGGCGGCGGGCTTCGACCGCAAGGACGTGTTGAAGATGGCGTCGTCGTTTCCTCCAGTGCTGGGCTTGAATGTGAGTAAGAACATTCGGCCGAAACTGAACTTTTTGCAAGCGGCCCATGTAGATGTTACAGACATCACGTCGCACCCGAGGTACTTTTCATATTCGCTTGAAGGCAGGATTAAGCCAAGACTGTTAGCATTGCAAGGGCTTGGTCTGCTGCCACACACAAGTGGCGGCATGTGTTCTTGGTTGGCGCTCTGCGACGCAACGTTTTTCAGGCGGACTGGCCTTGCACGCGGAGTGGGGACGTAGTACAACATGATGCCTTCGCATGGAGTTCGTGACGCGGCTAGACGTGACTGGGCCTCGGCGCACGCGTGCTGCACGTGCTCGGATGCCCTAGGCAGCCCACAGGGATGCAGAGACAGACAAGCGCGCTGCGGGCCTCGCGCCCTGGGCCGCCGCGGTGCCCTTCTCCAGAGGGCGGCGGCGCGAGAGCGCGACGCGCGGCCGCGCGGCGCGCCCTGGCCAGGGCGCGGTCCGCGCGAGGCGGGGCCTGGGCGACCCAGGACGCGAGCGGGCGTATCCGCCACAAAAAAAAATAGACAGAGACGCCCTGCACGGGATTGTTCTTGGGCCCCAGGGGAGGGTGGCGGTGTGTAAATCACCGCGGAGAGCCAGCGACCTTACACACAGGGGGTACATGCAAGATTCGTCGGAGGGTGCCTGTGTGTATGTATGCATGTATGCATGCATGCATACATGCATGCATGTATGTATGTAGGTAGGCAGGTAGGTCTGTCTGTCTGTCTGTCTGCCTGTCTGTCTGTCTGTCTGTCCGTCCGTCTGTCTGTCTGTCTGTCTGTCTGTCTGTCTGTCTGCCTGTATGTATGTATGTATGTATGCACATATATATATATATATATATATATATATATGTATGTGTGGGTGTGTGTCCGTCTGTCTGTCTGTCTGCCTGTCTGTCTGTCTGTCAGTCTGTAGGTAGGTAGGTAGGTAGGTCGGTAGGTAGGTAGGTTGGTATGTGTGCATGTATGCATATGTCTCTTCCTATATTTTTGCGAGCCCGGGCGGGGGGAACACCCGTCATCCCCCCCCAAAAAATCGGACTCCCGGGATCTGGGGCTTTGGGACCCTTCGGACGGGCCTCGAAGCGGCCACCGGGCCTCGCAGGGCGTTTTGCCAAGCCTTCCCATCACACCTAGGGCGATCAGGGGGGTCATCGGAGACGTCCCAGGGACCCCCAAGACAGCACAAGAGCGCTCAAAGAGTGACCGACGTGACCTCAAGATGGCCCAAGAGGCCTCCAGGACGGCCCCAAAGAGGCCTCCAATAGCACTCCCAAGAAGGCCCCCGCGGCAAGAACAATCGATTTCTGCGGGTTTTTGGTGCATTTTGGGGTTCTCCTCTTTTCGGCTTCCCGACGCTCCAAGACGGCAGTCTTCTGGGCGTCCGAAGCCGCCTGGGAGGCTCCAGAATCGCCCCACAACCATCCGTAAGGGTTTCCAGGCAGTCCAAGAGAGCCCCAAAACGGCACAACACGGGCCCAATATGGCCCTCAGAGAGCCCCATGGCGGCCCACCCTCCGAAGAATTTCAAATCGTGATTCGGTCGTTCAGGGAGACCGCGGTTGGAGGCAGGGTGGCCCGAGGAAGCCCCCAGAGGCCCCCAGAATACGCCCAGGAGGCCTCCAGAAGGCCTTAAGAAAGCCTGAAACAACTTTTGTGGGGCCCCTAGAGGCTCTCCAAGGAGGAGCCTCCGCAAAAAAGAGCTGAGGAGGATGGGGAGAATGCGCAGAGTATGGCGAACATCAAGAAAAACAAACATGGAGGTTTGATAACGAATCACATTATTATAGCGGCGATGCCGGAAAAGGCAACAAGGAGTTATCGCTAAGTTGTCGGCTTGACCTTCCTGCTATTCCGCCTGCATGCCAAACTTCAAGGACCAAGGTGCATGGCGCGAAGCGCCACTGCAGTCTTGTGTGTATATATATAGATATTTATCGATCGTGGCGTAGCACAAAGCGGCCCAGGGCAAGGCGGTGGCGGGCGGCAGCGGCGAGGGGCACCGCGAGCCCCGCCAACAACACCCCCGCCCTTTGTGGCAGGCCTCTGCACGGAGGGGATTCTGCGGCGAGCGGAGGAGGGCACTTGAGCCAGGGACCTCGGCGAAGGCACTCGGTGCAGAGGCGCTCCAACATCCCGCAGCCGGATGCAGCCTGGGCTGGGATCGCCGGCAAGCGAGGGCGGGAAACGAGAAGGAGGAAGGGCTTCTCAGGAGGTGGCGGGACTTCTCAGAAGCTCTGGCGCCTGCTGAGAAGTTCTCTGTGTCTTCGGGGAAGGCTTCTAAAACTTCTCAGAAGGCAGGGGGGCTTCCGAACCTTCCGAGAAGGCCCGCCCCTTCTCATTTCCCCCTCAGGCGCGCCGCCTATGGGAAGCTGGGGCGTGTGTGCGCCGAGAGCCCTTGGCCGACCAGAGCCTCGGGCCCCTTCCCAGGGAGGCTTCCGAGACGGCTGAAGACCCAGGACCCCAAGAAGGTCCAAGATCGCCTAAAGACGGCCCAGGATGGTCTTAAGACGGCCAAGGCGGCCCTTCAGACGCTCCAAGACGCCCTCAAGAGGAACCCCCACGAGGCAAGCATCTTCCGATTCCGAAGGGAAAACGTGCATTTGTGGCACACTTGCTGTTTTGTCATTGTTATACCGTCTGCGACGGCCCAGGATGCCCCCAAGACCGCCCCTAGACGGCCTAAGAGGCCCCCAAGAGGGCCCCACGACGGCCCAAGCGAGCTCCAAAACAGCTCAAGAGAGCCCCAAGACGGCCCCCCAAAGGCCCCTGAGGGCCCCAAAGGGTTCACAAGAGAGCCCCAGGAGGGCCACTGGAGGTCCTCAAGAGGGCCCCAGAGGGCTCCAAGAGGGCCCCAGGGCCGCCCAAGAGGGCCCCAATACTGCACAAACAAAAATCCAAAGGACCCCCAGGAAGGCCCAGAAATGTAAGCTGCATTGATTTTCGCACGGTTCTTTGCTAGATTTGTGTTTGTCGTGCCAGCCAATGTCTTTACACTGGCAGGGCTCCAAGACCCTAAGCAAGCGATCGCGCGCCCTCACGCAGTGCACGCGCTTTCCGTCCCCGTGCCGAGCATATTCAAACTTTTCGGACGTCGTCGTCAGTTCTCGGCGGCTTTCCAGCCTCGGGGCGCGTTTCAGCGGCTGCTCCTAGGAGGCATCCCGGGGTGCCCGGGTCGTCCCGAATGGCCGCCGGAGGCCCGAGTTATGACCCGAAAACGAGACGTCGTGCATGATTTGCACAAGGGGGGGATGCGTCGACCCCCAATCGCCCATTCATCGCCCATGGGGGCTTGATAGCGCACCCCGCCCAGGAACGTGCGGGGAGAGGGGGTAGGTGGAGAGGTAGACCTATGATCGAAGGGGAAGGAGGTTGGAAGAACCAACTCCCTGAACCACATGCGTCCAGATGGCTGATAGGGGGTCCTGTGATGCCTGTCAGCAGGGGGCGTCTGAGCCAGGTCATGCCGAGCATCCACATCACGGGTTCTCCTGAATCTGTCCACTCGGTATACAGTGGAGACCAATGCCAAGAAACACCCTGCTTGCCTCCATGGTGCCCTGGGTTTCTTGGGTTTCGATGGTTTTGCTGTGGAGCGCGACGTTCCCACACCAGAAGTCAATGGACGTCCTGGGGTCTCAGGGTTGGGTTTCTTGCGGAAGGTTTCTTGTGGTCGGGCCTCCACTGTACCGTGTCGGGAGGCGGTCGCTGCGAAGGCGCCGCGAGGCGGGCAGGTAGCTTCCGTGGTGTCTTCATATAGCGTCCGAGGCTATTTCGGCTCGAGCCGTTTTGGTGCAGCCAACTCTGTCGCGGGCCATCCTGGCGCAGCCTGTGTGCTCCGACGCCGGCCGAGGGCCAGTGCTGAGTCGACTTCCTGCTTGGTGCCCTCGCTGCGGTATCAGGAATCGGCGGCGAGCGAGGGGGGGAAGTGAGAAGGAGAAGGCCCTCTCAGAAGGCTGCGGGGCTTCTCAGAAGCCCGCCGGCCTTCTGAGAAGTGTTCTGCGTCTTCGGGGTTCGGAGCCTTCTGAGAAGGCCCACCCCTTCTCGGAAACAGGAACATGTATTGTTTTTCTTCCAATCCCAGGACTTTTTGAGGGTCGCGGCCGACGTCGGGGTAGCGCGGTGTATACTTGTCTTTTCTGTCTCCCGGGGTATCGCCGAACAAGGTATTCACCAGGATCCCGTGCAAACCAGGATCCGCTTTCCTGTGCGAATTGCAGTGCAGGGCCAGACAACTCGTCGGTGTATGGCGTTCGTTTCCATATTTTCTCACGTCTTGCCTGGGCTCGCCGCCGAAGGAGGCCTCGCCGTGCGGCGCCTCTTTGCGCGGCGCCCGCCCTCCTGCCCTCGCGGCCTTCGGTATAGAACCGTTGCCGTGCGCGACGGGCCAGGGGGGAAGACCTAATGACGGCAGGTTCGCGTCGTGTCGACTGGCGGCGACCCCGCCGCTGGCGTTCAGCGATTGAACGCCGCTGGCGTTCAGCGATTGAACGACCGGGCATTTCGGAAACAGCCATTCGTTCGAGGTTGAACGATCCACGCTGTGTCAGGAACCAACGCTGGGGTCGACACGACACGAGCCCACGGTAGCTCTGCTGTCACCATGTTCATGCGGCGGGCAAGGGCTAAGCAGATCGTGCAGCCGGTCATGGCCCAGTCCTACATGAAGCTTTTCGTCGGAATCCGAGGCAGGTGGCTGGCGGCGAGAGGCTCACCACCAACACTGGCGTTTATCAGTCAGCCTCCGAGACGATGCATCACTACGGCCGGAGGCCGCAGAGCGGAAGCTCGCATTGCCTTACTGGAGGCGGCAGGTTTTGACCGCAAGGCCGTGCTGAAGATGGCGTCGTCGTTTCCTCCAGTGCTGGGCTACGATGTGGAGAGCCGCATTGCCCTGCTAGAGGCGGCGGGCTTTGACCGCAATGCCGTGCTGAAGATGGCGTCGTCACATCCTCAAGTGCTGGGTTACGATGTGGAGAGCCGCATTGCCCTGCTAGAGGCTGCGGGCTTCGTCCGCAGGGCCGTGCTGAAGATGGCGTCGTCACATCCTCCAGTGCTGGGCTTGGATGTGGAGAGCCGCATTGCCCTGCTAGAGGCGGCGGGCTTCGACCGCAAGGCCGTGTTAAAGATGGCGTCGTCGTTTCCTCCAGTGCTGGGCTACGATGTGGAGAGCCGCATTGCCCTGCTACAGACGGCGGGCTTCGACCGCAATGCCGTGCTGAAGATGGCGTCGTCGTTTCCTCCAGTGCTGGGCTTGGATGTGGAGAGCCGCATTGCCCTGCTAGAGGCGGCGGGCTTCGACCGCAAGGCCTTGTTGAAGATGGCGCCGTCATTTCCTCCAGTGCTGGGCTTGGATGTGGAGAGCCGCATTGCCCTGCTAGAGGCGGCGGGCTTCGACCGCAAGGCCGTGCTGAAGATGGCGTCGTCGTTTCCTCCAGTGCTGGGCTACGATGTGGAGAGCCGCATTGCCCTGCTAGAGGCGGCGGGCTTCGACCGCAAGGCCGTGTTGAAGATGGCGTCGTCGTTTCCTTCAGTGCTGGGCTTGGATGTGGAGAGCCGCATTGCCCTGCTGGGGGCGGCGGGCTTCGACCGCAAGTCCGTGTTGAAGATGGCGTCGTCGTTTCCTCCAGTGCTGGGCTTGAATGTGAGTAAGAACATTCGGCCGAAACTAAGCTTCTTGCAAGCAGCCCATGTAGATGTTACGGACATCACGTCGCACCCGAGGTACTTTTCATTTTCGCTGGAAGGCCGGATTAAGCCACGACTGTTGGCATTGCAAGGTCTTGGTCTGCTGCCACAAACAAGTGGCGGCGTCTGTTCTTGGTTGGTGCTCTGCGACGCAACGTTTTTCAGACGGACTGGCCTTGCACGTGGAGTGAGGATGTAGTACAACATGATGCCTTCGCATGAGCTTCGCGACGCGGCTGGACGTGACTGGGCCTCGGCGCGCGCGTGCTGCACGTGCTCGGATGCGCCAGGCAGCCCACAGGGATGCAGAGACAGACAAGCGCGCCGCGTGCCTCGCGCCCTGGGCCGCCGCGGTTCCCTCCTCCAGAGGGCGGCGGCGCGAGGGCGCGACACGCGGCCGCGCGGCGCGCACTGGCCGGGGCGCGGTCCGCGCGAGGCGGGGCCCGGGCGACCCAGGACGCGAGCGGGCGTACCCGCCACAAAAAAAAATAGACAGAGACACCCTCCACGGGATTGTTCCTGGGCCCCAGGGGAGGGTGGCGGGGTATAGATCACCACGGAGAGCCAGCGACTTTATAACACAGGGGGTACATGCAAAAGTCGTTGCAGGGTATCTGTGTACATATCTTCGTGGCAGGGCATAGACCAACCCAGGGCCAGACCGTAGCGGGCGGCAGCGGCGAGGGGCAGCGCGAGCCCCGCCAGCAAATGCCCCCCGCCCTTTTTGGTAGGCCTCTGCACGGAGGGGCGCCGCCGCGAGTGGAGGAGGGCACTTGAAGGGGCCTCGGCGAAGGCACTCGGTGCAGAGGCGCTCCAGCATCCCGCAGCCGCATGCAGCCTGGGCTGGGATCGCCGGCAAGTGAGGGCGGGAACTGAGAAGGATAAGGGCTTCTCGGAAGGCGGCGGGATTTCTCAGGGGCTCTCGCGCCTTCTGAGAAGTTTTCCGTGTCTTCGGGGAAGGCTTCTAAAACCTCTCAGAAGGCAGGGTGGCTTCCGAGCCTTCTGAGAAGGCCCGCCCCTTCTCATTTCCCCCTCAGGCGCGCCGCCTATGGGAAGCTGGGCCGTCTGTGCGCCCAGAGCCCTTGGCCGACCAGAGCCTCGGGCCCCTTCTCGGGGAGCCTCCCAAGACGGCTGAAGGCACCTCCAAGACGGCCCCAGGGAGGCCCAGGACCCCAAGAAGGCCCAAGAGCGCTCAACGACGGCCCAGGATGGTCTCTAGACGGCCAAAGCGGCCCTCCAGACGCTCCAAGAGGCCTTCAAGAGGAACCCCAAGAGGGATGACCTCCAAGAGGCAAACCATCGTCCCATTCCTTCTTAGGAAAACGTGTATTTTTGGCGCACTTGCTGCTTTGCCGTTGTCATACCGTCTGCGACGGCCCAGGGGGCCCCCAAGACGGCCCCCAAGAGGGCCCCAGGACGGCCCAAGCGGGCTCCAAAACAGCCCAACAGAGCCCCAAGACGGCCCCCCAAAGGCCCCTGAGGGTCCCAAAAGGTTCCCAAGAGAGCCCCAAGAGGGCCACTGGAGGTCCTCAAGAGGGCCCCAGAGGACTCCAAGAGGGCCCCACGACGGCCCAAGCCCCCCAAGACGGCCCAAAAGGGCCCAAGGGCCTCCCAAGAGGGCCCCAAGACTGCACAAAAAAAGCCCCCAAAGGACCCCCCAGGAAGGCCCAGAAATGCAAGACGCATGGATTTTCGCACGGTTCTTCGCTAGATTTTTGTTTGTCATGCCAAAGTCTTGACACCAGCAGGGCTCCAAGACCCTAAGCAAGCAATCGCGCGCCTCCACAAAGTACACGTGCTTTCCGTTCCCGTGCCGAGCATGTTTAAAAGTTTTCGGACGTCATCGTCGGTTCTCGGCGGCTTTTCAGCCTCGGGACGCGTTTCAGCGGCTGCTCCTGGAGTCATCCCAGGGTGCCCGGGTCGTCCCGGATGGCCGCCGGAGGCCCGAGTTATGACCCGAAGGATGCGTCGACCCCCAATCGCCCATTCATCGCCCGCGGGGGCTTGATAGCGCACCCCGCCCGGGAACGTGCGGGGAGAGGGAGTAGGTGGAGAGGTGGACCTATGATCGAAGGGGAAGGAGGTTGGAAGAACCAACTCCTTTAACCACATGCGCCCAGATGGCCGAATGGGGATCCTGTGAAACCTGTCAGCAGGGGGCGTCTGAGCCAGGTCATGCCGAGCATCCACACCACGGGTTCTCCTGAATCTGTCCACTCGGTATACAGTGGAGACCCATGTCAAGAGGCACCCTGCTTGCCTCCAGGGTGCCCCGGGTTTCTTGGGTCGCGATGGTTTTGCTGCGGAACGCGTGACGCTCCCACGCCAGAGATCGCTGGACGTCCTGGGGTCTCAGGGTTCTATTTCTCGTGGAAGCTTTCTTGTGGACTGGCCTCCACTGTGCAGTCAACGCGCCTAGTAAGGACGCGCTCCGAGCTGGGACTGGCCAGGGAGAGCCGGGCGGCCGGCCGAGCGAGGCTCGAGGAGGAAGGACAACGGAGCGGGGCAGCTTTGAGCCGGGCAGTTCCCTCTACAGGAGGAATGTTCCAATAATAATGATACATAATATGGGGGCGATTTTCGACTATGGTTAAACCATGTTTGAGTTTTTTTGACATGTATTATATCTTTTCTTACAACATCCGCTGTAGGAGCACATGCCCGACCTGCGGGTAGCTAGGGGGGGGCAGCTGGGTGCGGCGCTGCCGTGTCGGGAGGCGGTCGCTGCGAAGACGCCGCGAGGCGGCCGAGGCCATTCGGCTTCATGTAGCTTCAGTGATGTCTTCATGTAGCGTCCGAGGCCATTTCGGCTCACGCCGTGTTGGTGCATCCGATTTTGGCTCAGGTCATCCTGGAGCGGCCTGTGTGCTCCGACGCCAGGCGAGGGCCAGTGCTGAGTCGACTTCCTCCTTGGTGCCCTGGCTGCGGTATCAGGAATCGGCGGCGAGAGAGGGGGGGAAGTGAGAAGGAGAAGGCCCTCTCAGAAGGCGGCGGGGCTCCTCAGAAGCCCGCCGGCCTTCTCAGAAGTTTTCTGTGTCTTCGGGGAAGGGCCATCTCAGAAGGCCGGATGACTTCCGAGCCTTCTCAAAAGGCCCGCCCCTTCTCGGAAACAAGAACATGTACATTAGCAGTGGCGGGCTGTTTTTCAATCCTAGGACTTTTTGAGGGTCGCGGACGACGTCGGGGTGGTGCGGTGTATACCTTTTGTTTCCGTCTCCCGGGGAATAACCGAAAAAGGTATACACCAGGATCCCGTGCACACCAGGATCCGCGTTCTTGTGCAAACTTCAGTGCAGGGCCAGACAAATCGTCGGTGTATGGCGTTCGTTTCCTCACTTTCTCACTTCTTCCCTGGGCTCGCCGCCGAAGGAGGCCTCGCCGTGCGGCGCCTCTTGGCGCGGCGCCCGCCCTCCTGCACTCGTGGCCTTCGGTATATAACCGCCGCCGCGCGCGACTGGCCGGGGGTGAGACCTAGCTCGGCTTCCGCCACGCAGAAATATACACAGACACCCTCCCCTGGATTGTTCCTGGACCTCAGGGGAGGGTGGCGGTGCATGGACCACCACTGTCGCACTGTCGCCCTCCCTGAAGGTACGTGCAACATTCGTCAGACAGTATCTGTGTATATGTTTTCGTGGCGTGCAGCTGTCACCATGTTCATGCGGCGGGCAAGGGCTAAGCAGATCGTGCAGCCGGCCGCTGTTCAGTCCTGCAGGAAGCCCTCCGTCAGAATCCGAGGCAGGTGGCTGGCGGCGAGAGGCTCACCACCACCACTGGCGTTTATCAGTCAGCCTCCGAGACGGTCCATCACTACGGCCGCAGGCCGTAGAGCGGAAGCTCGCATTGCCTTACTGGAGGCGGCAGGTTTTGATCGCCAGGCAGTGGTGAAGATGGCGTCGTCATTTCCTGAAGTGCTGGGCTTGGATGTGGAGAGCCGCATTGCCTTGCTAGAGGCGGCGGGCTTCGCCCGCAAGGCCGTATTGAAGATGGCGGCGTCGTTTCCTCCAGTGCTGGGCTACGATGTGGAGAGCCGCATTGCCCTGCTGGGGGCGGCGGGCTTCGACCGCAAGGTCGTGCTGAAGATGGCGTCGTCGTTTCCTCAAGTGCTGGGCTTGAATGTGGAGGGCCGCATTGTCCTGCTGGGGGCGGCGGGCTTCGACCGGAAGGTCGTGCTGAAGATGGCGTCGTCGTTTCCTCAAGTGCTGGGCTTGGATGTGGAGAGCCGCATTGCACTGCTAGAGGCGGCGGGCTTCGACCGCAAGGCCGTGTTGAAGATGGCGTCGTCGTTTCCTCAAGTGCTCGGCTTGGATGTGGAGAGCCGCATTGCCCTGCTAGAGGCGGCGGGCTTCGACCGCAAGGCCGTGTTGAAGATGGCGTCGTCGTTTCCTCCAGTGCTGGGCTTGGATGTGAGTAAGAATCGTGCCCCCGGCGCCCAACAGACGATTTTGAAGTCGAATCGTTGGCGCGAGAAGGATTGTTTGCATTCGTGAGAAGCGCGTTCACCTAAACGTCGCACATTCGGCGTCCCGCAAGACACGGCCGTCTACGCGTTCGTGTCGACTATTCGTCGAGATCATCGGCAGGCGCCCAGGTCGGGCCCCCTGCCCCATGCATGTTGCAGGGACTTGAGGGCCAACGGGAGGGGCCAGGCCCCCCCCATGCCCTATGAGAATGATGCGCATGTAGCTTCGTTGTTTTTTGAGGTTTGACATTTCATAGGTTCACAAAGAGGAGGTTCTTTCATGTATACATGGGTCCGAGGGTGAACACTTGAGGTTTTGATGCTTGACATGTTGCAATTGTCTGAAGTTCTCAAACTCTTGGATGTACAGTATGTGTTTGGTCCAATAGGTCAAACTGACCGTGCTCTTATTCCAGAGAGACGCATATGTCATGTGTTCAAACTTCCAGTATCTTCTAAATTGCCAAGCATGGCAAAACTGCTTCAACCGCGAAAACACGCCACAGCAGTTTGCCATTTCGAACAGTGTAAGTTTGAAGCGTGAACGATTGATCGTATTTGTAGTTTGAGCGTTTGAAGGTTTGACCATGCCAACGCGGTGTACAAAGACACATGGGGAACCGACGAACGTTTGTATGTATAATAATTGTTGTAAGTTTTAACCGGGGGCGTTCGCGAGTCTGTCAATCGTGTTTTGCGAAATGCAGGTATGCTCACATGTTTTGGAATATTTGTCGCTGCGGCCAGAGGGCGTCTAGGAGAGCGGAGAAGAGGGAGCTCGGTAGAACACCATAGTTGCGCAATCTCATCATTTGTTGTTGACCCGGAACTGCTTTCAGAGTTTCAAACATGGTTTCTGGATGCGCGCAGGCGGCGGAGGATGTGGGATTGGTAGGTTCCCCATAATCCGTAGTTGCGATGCGATTTTCTTGTGTGTTTTGAAACAGAGAAAGCGTTTCTAGGTTTTTACAAATGTTCCTTTGGGCTTGTGCAGGGCGAGGGAGGGGGAGCAGGAACGGCTGGCGGAAAATCGCAACTATATCGCAACTGTTCGTCATGTGTGCAGAGCGTCGTCATGGTCCTTCTCACTTTGCCCATCGCTAGGATCCCCCGTGAACCTCTCCGTGGCCCGGGCCTCCAGGTGCTTCGTCGTCCTTCTCCGCGCGTCTCCAGCAACGATTTTTAAAGAGTGCCCCTGTAATTAAGCAGTGTGACGGGCATTTCTGGTTTCTACACTGAGGGGGATCTGCCTTCGCGCTCAGTCCCCGGGGAGCGGGCTATCCGACGACGAACGTTGGTACGACGACGCCGACGAGCGTTGCAACGACGACGACGACCAGTACGACGACCACGACGGCGACGAGTGTCTCGGCGAGGACGGGTACGAGCGTTGCGATCGCAACGGCGACGACGGTGACGACGATATTGACGAACACTGCGGCGGCGGCGGTGACGATCGCTGCGACGGCGACGGTGACGAATTTTAAACCGACGAAGACGAGCGTTACGACGGCGACGGCAGCGACGAGCATTGCCGAGACGATGGCGAGCGTGCCGACGACCGCGGCGACGCGGAGCGTTGCGATGACGGCTCCGTTGAGTTTCACGACGACGACGATGAGCGTTTCGGCGACGACAGCAACGAACGTTGCGACGACGACGCCGACGGGCGTTACGACGACGACGGCGACGAGTGCTACGGCGACCAAGGCGGCGACCGCCACGAGGGCGATGGCGAGCGTTGTGACGACGGCGGCGAGCATTCCAACGACAAGAGCGACGGGCGTTCTGACGATGACGAACATCACGGCGGCGACGACGGCCACGGTCGCTTGGTGCGTTGAATGGCGGTTGTGGTTTAGCGGCGCATTCGTTTTTGGAGCTGTCACCGACAGCATGATATGGGTGGAACTGTTCGGAGGAGCGGCTGGCGGAATGAGGATGATGATGAGCATGTGTTGATGGTGGTGGTTCAGAGTCCCCTGGGCCTTCCCCTGAGAAGCATAAAAACCAACCACGATTTTGCACACGATTTTGCAATACGATTTTTTGGGGCGACTTGCCTGAGACACCTCCACGAAATTTTTGTTTGCCAAAATTGTATTTGAAATCGTTTCGGATCGGGCGCCAGATTCTAACGCAAATCGTTCTCTCTAGGCGTAGGGTCTCATTTCGAAATCGTGCTGGCGGCTCGCGGACCCCGCATTCAGAATCGTAGGGGCGGATCCTGAAAATCGTAGCCAAAATCGTCGTGGGGTAGTTTGAAAATCGTAGGGGCGGGTGTTCAAAATCGTAGCCAGAACCGTCGGGGCGGAGGTTGAAAATCGGAGTAATGATGTTGATGAAAGGCCGTGCCTTTCCGGCCTTGAGGCTGGAAAAGTTTAGCTTCAAGTACCCTGCTTTGAGGCCTGAGATTTTTCGCCTGAAATGTCCGGCCTCGCTGCCGGAGCGGTCCAACCCCAGGGCCTTATCTTGTCATGGAGCGGTCAGTCCATGCATATAGTGCCGTGGGGTAGCTCCAAGAAGACTCCAAGAAGGCCTAAGAGGATCCCGAGAGGGCTCCGGGAGGGCCCCAGAGGCCCCAAGACACGCCCTTGGAGGCTTTAGACGCTCCTAGAGTCCCCCCGCGGTAGAGGATTTTAAACGGACGTTTGAGATACTCTACGGCGGGGGCCCCAAGAGGGCGCCAGGAGTGCCCCAGGAGAGCTTCAGGATGGCCATAAGATGGCCCCAAGAGAGCTCTAAGAGGGCCCCAGAGGCCCCAAGAGAGGCCCAAGAGGGCCTCGAATGGCACCCAAAAGCAGTGAAAGTGAAGTCACGCGAACGCCCTTTCGCGTGATTTAACTTTCACTTCCATTGGGGGCCTCCGGGGGTTCTCTTGGACCCCCACAGGCGTTCCTAACGGCCCCAGAGAGGCCAAAAAGAGCCCCGGGAAAATACCAACCGGCCCCCAAGAGGAATGTAACTTATGTCACGCGAAAGGGCGCTCACGTGTCTTCACTTTCACTGCTTTTGGAGGCCCTTCAGGGCCCTCTTAGAGCCCTCTTGGGCCTTGCTTATTTGGCCTTGTGCGCCGCAATCGTGCGGCAGCTTCCTGGTGATATGCGTCTGCGCTTCGCAATCGCGACGCGATTCCGAGGAAATGCGAAGTTCCACTGCCTGTACGCGAGCATAGCGATCGCGCGAAATAGTTTCATCAAACAGTGCTGGCACTTTTTGCATTGCGTATTTCTGATATGTGGTGTAATACAAGCAAGCCAGATTTCGATACATGCGTAGATAGCGCTTGAAACAACGAACTTCGACTCCGACCGCGCCAACACGCAGGCAGCTGTAGTGAGGCGAGCCCCAGGCGGTACTGAAGAAGGCTTCGAAGGGCCCCCCCTGGGGCCTCGCCGAGGCCCCTCATACAGATCTAGAGAGCCCAAGAGAGCTTCAAGAGAGCCCGAGAGAGCCCAGATACGCCTTCCCACCGTCCCTCGCTTGTCTCCCAGTCTCCTGTCATTCGCTCCCTCCGCTCCTTTTCCGCGCCTTCCTCCCATCCTCTTCACTCTCGTTCATTATGCTCCCGTTTTCTTCCCCTGCGGCGGATGGGGGTGGGAGGAGGGCGGGGGTAACTGCAACGTGTGTCCCCGCCGACGCGGAGCATGTGCAGGTAGTTCCCGTGGTTGGGGCGCTCCTGGCGGGCGATCGCCCTCCTCGTCGTCTTCTGTTTTGCGAGCGCTCTTTGCATATAGCGTGGACACACTAAATAAAACAAACTCCATATATTCAGCCGCTCAGCGAAACCAATTAGGATAAATTGCAGGTCCAGCCACACGCAGGTTCGATTCGATGATTATATGGGTCACAATCCAATATTTGTGTTCGCGGCTGCTGTGTCAAGGTGCGTTAAATTCGTCGTTTCGGGCGTTGACCCCCGGGGGTGTGCAAATCGCCCGTTCCTGCAGGGAGCGCGCCAGAATGTTATCAGACCTCTTCGGGCCCCCCTCGTGGCGGTCAGGGTCGCTCCCCCCCCTCTCTCCGCCAACCCCTGCTGCGCCCGCTTCTCCCGTGATTTTCACTACGACCCTACTCGCGCCATCGCTTGTGATATGGGGTCACGATGTGTTATAGAACACGTTGACTTTCTGAAAAAAGTGAGTTCGAAATCGTGGCAAGTTCTGTTGGGGCGCCGCGGTGGAAAGTAAGAACATTCGGCCGAAACTGAGCTTCTTGCAAGCGGTCCATGTAGATGTTACAGGCATCACGTCGTACCCGAGGTACTTTTCATATTCGCTGGAAGGCAGGATTAAGCCAAGACTGTTAGCATTGCAAGGGCTTGGCTTGCTGCCACAAACAACTGGCGGCGTCTGTTCTTGGTTGGCGCTCTGCGACGCAACGTTCTTCAGGCGGACTGGCCTTGCACACGCAGTGAGGATGTAGTACAACATGATGCCTTCGCATGGTGCCGCGGCTGGACGTGACCGGGCCTCGGCGCACGCGTGCTGCACGTGCTCGGATGCGCCAGGCAGCCCGCAGGGATGCAGAGACAGACAAAGGCGCTGCGTGCCGCGCGCCCTGGGCCGCCGCGGTGCCCTTCTCCAGAGGGCGGCGGCGCGAGGGCGCGACGCGCGGCCGCGCGGCGCGCCCTGGCCGGGGCGCGGTCCGCGCGAGGCAGGGCCTGGGCGACCCAGGACGCGAGCGGGCGTATCAGCCACCAAGAAAATACATCCACGCAGACACCCTCCACTGGATTGGTCCTGGGCCCCAGGGGAGGGTGGCGGGGTATAGATCACCACGGAGAGCCAGCGACTTTATAATACAGGGGGTACATGCAAAAGTCGTTGCAGGTATCTGTGTGCATATCTTCGTGGCAGGGCACAGACCGGCCCAGGGCCAGGCCGTAGCGGGCGGCAGCGGCGAGGGGCAGCGCGAGCCCCGCCGGCAAATGCCTCCGCCCTTCTTG